TTCTCTCTTGGGTCCTTGCCCCCCAAAATGTCCCTGTACAGTATATGGCTACAGCCTTGTTGTCGGAGAAGCCAGTGTTTGAGCCAGCATGTTTCCTTAATCTGTGATTACATGTCATGGTCATTTTATGTTTTAGGTACAGTAAATAAAGTACATATATCTCCTTTAAAGGTACAGTGTGTAGAATTTTGTTATATCTAGTGCTGAAATTGCATGTTGCAACTGAATACCCCTCACCTCACCCTCCCCTTCCAAAAGAAAAAAATAACCTGTGTTTGCCATTACTTAAACAATACTCAAAAGGTGTTTAGTTTGTGCAGTCTGGACTAATGTAAAAAACATGGCGGCCTCCATAGAGAGGGTCCCCTCGATGTAAATATTTTCTGAGGTAAAGAAAACTACAATTCATACAATTTAGATGAAATTAACTAGTAAAACATCATGAGGATTATTCTCCATTAAATATCTGCCAATAGTTCCCTTCACCTAAATCTTACACATTGGACCTTTAAATCATTTTATATTACAAAAGCACAAAAAAACATACTTTTATGATTTATTCACAGCAGAAGAATAGGCAGCATCTCAGTGTGTGTTTATTTGTGTTCCAGCTGATGCTCATCATCGGGCTTGCCCACATTCTGGTTGTGTTTCGCGTGGTGGCTGCTCCCTTGTTGTCTGAGGGCAACTGGGAGTTTATCAGAGACCATGCCAACACCATTGCCATGATGCTGGGAGCTGTGCTGCACTATGTCACCATTCAGATCATGACTCGGGTACGTTTTTTTTCTCTAGCAATATTCAAACCTAGGAATGTGAAGACTAATCACTCATTATGGAGGAACTATGTTACAAGGGTGAGAACATGTTTAACTTTTACAATATTCACAAGTTTCAGAAATGTTTTTGTTTTGTGTTAAATCTTCCTGATTATATTGGTTGTGCCTGAAACCACCTGTTAAAATTGTGTCAGAGTTCTAGATTGGTAGGTTACTATGCTATTGTGTTTTGGTGTTATGTGAACAACTTTAAGATCAGTTAATAGATCTTAGAGATGAGCCGGAAATCTTTGATGCTTTATACTCATTTACACAATTTACTTAGACAGCTTTAAAGACCAAGCTCAATACAGCAACTCTATGCCCACACTCTGTGATATGGAAAGCTTTGGAAGCCTATCTGTTGCCCTTCAAACCCTCATTAAATCTGAGGTGGAAAGTTTTTGGACATTAGATTGGTTAAACAATGTAATTTTACTAAAACTTTATCAAATATTCACAGTCAGGATTCTGTTTTGTGTTTTGAACCAAAATATTTGTCCAACTATATTGCACAATTGTCATTAATTGATTAGAATTATGGAGGGGAATTAGTGGAAGGCAACATTTCACACACCTATGGAACAATTTGAGTACAAGAACATGCAGTTCCTACATTTTGCAGTTTTAGCTTCATAGACAGGCTATCCAGAATTTCAGTAGAGTTATTCCATCCTATTCCAGACTCCCTTCTTTTAATTACTAATTAATTACTGTTTGTTTACTCTCATGAGGCACAGACAGCAGTAGTCCCCCAAGTAATAGGCTCCAAATTACACCCATGGGCCTTTTTCTTAGAAAAAGGGGTGGTTGATAGTCAAGTACAAAGAGGAGATACAAACCTACGAGGAGAATCAAGGGCCCTGGTCTGAACACAATGTCATGAAAGGTGCGATAAATGCAAGAAGGAGCAGGAGTTCTGCAGTCTCAGGGGTAGGAGATAACTTGGAAAGCAGGAATGTACTGCTTTAGAAAAATGATCAGAAGGAGGCATGCTGGTGACACGGTCCACAGCAATATTCAGTTCATTTCAAAGAGAGAGAGAGAGTTGAGAGAGACTGGGAACACTTGTGAACCATCAGGTATCAGCTCTGACTAAAATGTAAACAATTACAGTGTAAAGAAGTTATTGATTATTATTGATAACAGGCTCAGGCCTTAATAATAAAAATTAGGGCCCAAGCATTGATACAGGTTCATAGCGCCACTTAGTGATTCACTGTGAAACAGGACTTTTTTTCCAACTCCACTATGCATTGTCCAATAAGCCCCAAACTTCTGTTACATGATTAGAGTCCAGGCCTGAACAGCTCCATGTGTCAAAAGTAAGTCTGGGTCATAGTGCTACCTACTGAACAGCGTGAACATTAAGTTGTATTTAACTCTACTGTTGATTGTCCAATCTGCACCAAAATTGAAACCTATGATCGGAGCTGCGGCCTGAACAGCTCCATGTCTCATCATCACAGCACCACCTAATGGTGACATAAAGTGACATGTTTAATTTTTTGATGCACTGTTGCTGGCTGCTTTACAATATACAGCTCAAATGAGCTCAGACACGCTATAAGAACATGGTCAGAATTGTTACATTTCCTCAAACCGTGCAGAAATTGAGATGCAGCGAAGGTTGTTCTCTCGCCAAAAGAGACAAAGTAAGCTGTCTTTTATCCTGCATCCAGATGTGGCGATGTGAAATATGTCTAAGTCTGAACTCAACATGATATGCACTGATGTAGAAACAATGAAAGTAATTTGACTTAACACAGCTAACGACATCTTCTGGTTTGCTGCCTGTGTGTCAGCTACAATGCCACTCCTGGAAAGTTACTATAGCGTAACTGGCAAATATACTGTAATCAAATTTTGAACATACTCTCCAACACTTGACTATAAAAGCAACCTCCAATTTAAAAGGTAAATGGTTGTATTTATATAGCGCTTTTCTAGTCTTGAAGACCACTCAAAGCGCTTTACACTACAGTTTTCCATTCACCCATTCACACACACATTCATACATAGAGTGCTTCTATAGCTAGCACTTTTTGTTGTTCTATTGGGCAGTTTGGGGTTCAGTATCTTGCCCAAGGACACTTTGGCATGCAGATGGGAAGACTGGGGATCGAACTTCCGACCTTCTGGTTGGAGGACGACCGCTCTACCCCCTCAGCCACTCGCTTTTTTTTGAAAGGTGAGAGGTGCTAGTTCACCTGAAATATACAGTGATAACAGCTGTTGATTAGTAATTTAATCAATAAATAAAAATTATTTCTATAAACAACATATTTCAAGTTTTGTCACATGAATAAACACAAACAGTGGGTGGCAGTTTACTGCCCTGTGGAATGAGTCTTGGAGAAAAGAGATGAGTTGACGAATGACCAGCAGCATGTTTGAAATACCAATGTGGCATCCTTTTAAGTCATCAGGGAGGACAGAGGAGGGCGAGTGTGTCCACCACAACACAGCACAATACAACAGGCCAGTTCAAAATGGATTTAGCTTTTCTTTTTTTTAACCAAAGCACAACACAAATGCAAACACAAGCTGTGAAAGTCACGTAAAGTAGTTCAAAGTAAGGGTTGAGGTGGAGGAGAGGGGGTTGTGTCAGTCCTCTGACAGCAGCCTGTGGAAATGATCCTTCCTCTTCTTCAGCACCTCCCGAAAATCCTCCGCTGCAGACAGTTTCTCCATGTAAGAGATGAGTTTGTGGAGCTCTCTGTTCGCCGACTCTCCGGACCAGCTCTTAATAGGAATCGTGTTCATCAGGTGGTATACCTGATGAACACGGGTAAGTGTGTGGTCCGTTATCCAGAACCACTGTCTTAGCGAGGTCCCTCCCCAGGATGCTGAGATCTATGATGTAGTGGCCGAGGATGCAAGCGCAGTCGTCCTGAAACAGTCGATTTCGAAACAGTTTCCTCTGCGGGTCCAGGATGTCCAGTATCTTCTCAGCATATTCCTTCTTTGCACATGTGTAAACAAACAGCTCATAGACTTTTGACATGGACTGAAGAAACTCTTTCAAATGTGGTCGAAGGATCATGTGAACCTTGTATTGATTGTCCTGGAACGCTGTGTGGAAAGTGAACTCTGCGTCTTTGATCACATTCAGAGAGCTGAACATCAGCGTCTCCTCCAGGTCAAGCACCAGCGTGGCCTCTGGAGTGCTCCTGGTCTTGGGGGGAATGTCTCTGAGTCGCGGTGGAGAATGCTGAGACTGTGACGGTATGTTCTTGATGAAATAAATGGGTTGAAAACCTCGTCCTCATCCTCGTCTCCAGCCAGAAGGTCAACGGAGCCGAAACCAAACACACCTTGTTCTGGACTCATGAAAATGCTCTTTCCTGTACGATTTGTATTCTCTTTGCTGGGTGTGAGGAAACGCACAATGGGCGAGTAAATGTTTCTGGCTGTTGAGTTGCACGGAGACCCCGGGTCGATCTCGGACTGTATGCGCTCCTGGCGCAGGATGGGTCTGACCGGAGTCTTGAAGGCCAAATCTGTTTACAGGACAGATTCACAATAAAACACATCTCTAAAGCGTTCAGTTTTAGTTTTTTTTCAGTTCATTCATTGTCAGCTGAACCTCATAGGCAGCAAACAATCTGTCCAGTTTTTCAACTTACAGGAAGATCAGACCACTGAGGAAACAGGGATACTTGAGAAGACCAGCTGGGACATGCCATTCCTGCTCTTCAAAAGTTCTATCTACCAATAATATATTAATTCTAAAACATTTATTTCACCTGTAGGTAAACCGATGGATTTCTCTCAAGCTTTGTGACATAGGTGAGAATCATGTTGGTTACTTTATTCACTGTCTTGTTCTGGAAGTAGGCAACTAATGAGTATACAATACAGTGCAATGCAAAAATATAGAAATGATTGCAAATGCTATTGTTTTCCCCATAAATGTTAAACAATTAAATCTGGAATATGTGAATATAAATCTGACTTTTTTTGGTTTTTGACCATATCAAATCATTATGCTCACTCATCAGTTACATTATTGTATTTTTCTACAGTGTGTGTGTGTGTGTGTTTATGTGTTTTTAGAGAAGATAAACTCGTTTGCTGCGACAGAGAGGAGCTTCACAGTTAAGATGTTTACCTTCCAGTTCTTCACCCTCTTCTCTTCACTCTTCTATGTGGCCTTCTTCCTGGGCAGGTAGACTACTCAGTCTGTAACTGCTGTTAATGTAGAGTTTTATAGATGAAACACTGAACCACAAGGACATAATACTATAATATACCAAAGAAAATGTATCTGCAATTGATACACTGTATTCTGTGACACACACCGACACATGCACTAACACACACAAAAAGTGTCATCAGACACATCTGTGCTCAGAATGCTTAGAAACAACATAATTTGTAAACTTAGACTATACAGTATATTGAGAGTCGGAGGAGACAGCAAGGGACACTGACACTGACCAGCAGTGTGAATAAAAGAGACACACAGTGGAGCATTAAATTACTGACAGAGTCTGGCAATTTTCCAATTATACAATGGCCTTATCCATCAGTCCAACTCTAATGATAACAGCAAAGCAGAGACTGGACCAGGAGCTGAGGGTTAAGGGTTGTTCAGGGGAGATTCCTCAGATCTAGTGTTTTATCAAGATGAATTTTGGTAAGCAGGAGTAAGACAGAGGCAGGAGTCAGGCAGGACCGATCTATAGCTGAGTCTATGATCTGGCAGCATGGTGGAGTTGAAGCCCAGTTCTTGCAGCAGCATAACCTGTACTGTAAGCATTGCTCAGTCTGAGGTTCAGAGATTTAAAATTCAGATTGTTAATGTGTAAATAATGTTCTCTCACAGAATAAATGGCCATCCAGGAAATTATGTGCGTATTGCTCGCTGGAGACTGGAGGAGGTGAGGAGATTTAAGTGATATTCAGATGTGTATACAGCTTGTCTACATCATAATACTAATTCTCAGATGTGCTTTGTGTGTCATGTAGTGCCATCCTAGTGGTTGTTTGACAGACCTTTTCATCCAGATGGCTGTGATCATGCTGCTCAAACAGATTCTAAACAACATCTTTGAGTTCACAGTGCCGTGAGTGTGAAGTGTTTTCATTTAGATTCTATCTATTTAAGGCAGCCGCTGTTGATGAGTAATTGTCCAGACTAGAGACTGTCAACAAAGATGGATTACATGTCGCCAACTCCAAAATGTTTCGGATATGGGTACTGCCATCTTGTGCTGGTGATGTAATTTAAGCTCGACCAATCAAGTGTAGTTGGACTTTTCAGTTTTTTTATTAATTATACTACAGCCTGCCACCTGGGGGAGACAGAGATTTTTTAGCTTCACTTTTGAATAGCTGTCATTTTGTCCATGTTTATTAAGGATTAAAAGGATTAAGATTCCTTTTTTTTATTGTCTCACACAATCATGCACACACAGCACTACATGCAACATGGGGAAATTTGACCTCTGCATTTAACCCATCTGTGTGAACACAGCACACACGCAACACAATACACACACAGTGACCACATGGAGCAGTTCGGTGCCTTGCCCAGGAGGTGAACTAGCACCTCTCACCTTTCATACTTTGGTCCATGCTGGACTTGAACTGGCCACCCTCCGGTTCCCAAGCCAAGACTATATGGACTGAGCTACTGCCTCCCGATATTATATTATATTATATTATATTAAGTTGATTATCCAGAACTAGGTAGCATTACATCACATTGATCTCATTTTGTAAACATGTCATACTCTCCATTTATGTGTCTTCCAGCTGGCTGAAGAGCTGTTTGAGCAGAAACACTGTAAAGAAGCTGGAGAGGAAATGTGGTCAGTGTTACAGAAAAGCTTGCCATGATGTACAGGGATGTGTTGAACCTTGTGACATCTGCAAACTTCGGGACTGGCTGCATAACTATCATCTGGCCAACACAGACGCCTTCAGCTTGTTCAATGAGTTCCTGGAAATGGGTAGGTCCATAGTCTCTGCCCTGACAATTTAACATGATAATCCAATTCACTGTTTTAAAGGTAGATTGTTTACTTACAGCATCCTGAAAGCACCAAAGAAGTCAGCATTGTAGATATTGTTATCAATACTATACTAGCTCTTTCCTTTCCTAATGTTTTTCTTTTTTATTCTTTTTATGTGTGTTTTGCTGTTTATACTTCATACACAATGGACACCAAGTACACTATGCTTGCCGTGGCCTTTCTTCTGTTCACCACTTTTTTTGTGTTTAAACACTTCTCCTAGCCACAAACGGAGTCCGACAGACATGATTTTTACATCAGGTGAAAATAGAGATTGTTTCCTACGCACACATGTCACTCTGACATCTCTCTGTGCTGTAGATTAGGCTTGAACATTTTTTTGAAAAATATTTTCCGGTCTCATTACTCCATTGACTTCCAGGTTAATTTTTGCCAAAAAGTCAGAAATGAGAAAAGCGGAAAAAAAATTCGAACTCGCTCCCTCGGTCTCATTTCTGAACTCTCACCAATAAAAAATAGATCTGTACGTTCGGGATTCTCACTGTGTTTTCATTTCACAGATAGGACCCATAGTTTTTGAGTAAGAGACACTTGTTTGAAGACTGGCGCTAGAGCAGAGCACTCTGACTTTCCCATTGACTCCAATGTAAATCTCATAAAATGATTCCTGATGAGAAAACTAAATTTCTAAATCGCTCTTACGGTCTCATTTCTTAACTCTTATTAAATAAAAAACATATGTGGCCAAAGTCTTGGGATTCTCACAATGTGTTTATTTCTGAGATAGGAGATATAGATTTTGAGTTAGAAGCATTTGTTTGAGGGGTGGTCTGAAGCTTGTTCGCCTCTCTAAAATGAGGGGACAACAGGTGTTCCTCATCAAATCAGTGAGTATCCATAGCAACCCCATAGACTGACAGAGGAAAAGTCTCCTCTTTAAATGTACTAACATCAAAATTTTTGTCATGCTCTGCTTTGGCCTAGTGGTTAAGGCACTTGCATCATGTGACGTAAGTCTGGGTTCAAGACCAGGTGAGGGTGGGACATTTTGCTTCAATTTTGAAAATTTAAATAAAAGTAAAAATAAGCCCCCCCATCCCCCCCATAGTAACTGCAATAAATAAAGGCTCATTACATGGCTCATTACATGTTCCTGGTAATATCTACCAGGAACATGTAATGAGCCTATATTTTGAAAATAAAAACAAACAACCCTCCCCCATTGTAATAGAATGTTATCAGGAAGTCTGTACAAAGCCTTTATTTTGAAAATAAGCCCCCCACCCCCCCACATATTACAAAGAAACATGCACAGAGCATGTGTTAAAGCCTATAAATAAGCCACCCTCATAGTAACTAGATATTACCAGGAAACATGTAATGAGCCTTTAATTTGAAAATAACCCCCCCATAGTAACTGGNATAGTAATATTTTGGCTTTGAAGAAGAATAAACACACATAAATAAACCAAAAGCAGTATTGAGCTGCTCCAATTAGCCATGACACACACACACACCCCCCCATTGTAATAGAATGTTACCAGGAAATCTGTACAAAGCCTTTATTTTGAAAATAAGCCCCCCACCCCCCCACATATTACAAGGAAACATGCACAGAGCCTATGTTTAAGCCTATAAATAAGCCACCCTCATAGTAACTAGATATTACCAGGAAACATGTAATGAGCCTTTAATTTGAAAATAACCCCCCCATAGTAACTGGATATTACCAGCAACATGTAATGAGCCTTCATTTTGAAAATAAGCCCCCCCACCCATTGTAATAGAATGTTACCAGGAACATGTAATGAGCCTTTATTTTGAAAATAAAGATAAACAACCCTCCCCCATTGTAATAGAATATCACCAGGAAGTCTATACAGAGCCTATATTTTGAAAATAAACCCCCCCATAGTAATAGAACGCTACCAGGAAACCCTTAGAAAGCCTGGTTTTTCAAAATAAAACCCCCAGATGGTTAAAGGATGTTCCCAGGGAGCCGGAAAAAGAGTGGATTTTCAAAATAAAACCCCCAAATAGTTACAGAATGTTCCCAGGAAGCCTGAAAGACACTGGATTTTCAAAATAAAACCCCCAAATAGTTACAGGATGTCACTAGGAAGTCTAAAAAATGCTGGACCTTCAAAATAAAACGCCCAGATAGTTATGGGATGTTGTCAGGACCTTACCAGGAAGCCCAAAGGAGTCTGAATTGTTGCAGAATGTTCCCAGGAAGCCTGAATTTTTAAAATGAAATGCCATGGATGGTGATAAGACCTTACAACATGGTTTCTCTCTGTCTCTCTGAAATTGGTACAGTCTGTCTCTCTTTCACCATCCTGGATCATGTTATCAAAATGCAGCTTTTATACATGTCTTTCTCTCTCACATCATGCATGATTATAAAATCAAGCAGCTTTTGGAAATGTCTTTCGCTCTCTCTCTCTCTCTCTCTCTCTCTCTGAAATTGGTCCACTCTCTCTCTGTCCTTCCTCTTAAAGGAAATATCTCTCTGTCCGAGCGGTGGCAACGAGCACAAGGCACCCATTCAAAATGTCTCGGCAGGAGAGATTTTCTAGTTTATTAGATATTAGAGCTTAATAAGCCAAATATTTGATGATGTGTCTGTTTTATTGACACACAGACTGATGATTAGATGATGATTTACAGACTGCTGCTGAGACTTGTCAGACTAGAGAGAATCACCAGAGGAAAACTGGGGGTTTATTAGGGCCCGAGCACTGTGAAGCAGCGAAGGCCCTAATGTTATCAGTCAGGTCTGGTAAACTGTGCGTTTAAGTGGACTTTTGTACATGGGCGGAGCAAAATGGCTCTGTAGCTCCCCCTATTGACGTGCACAATCTCTGGCTTTTGCGTAGGTGGACGAAATTCGGTACACGCCTTCGTCATGCCCAGACGCACAAGATAGCCTCTTGACGTCATGGCACCAGTGACACAGGAAGTCGGCCATTTTGATTGGGAGACGCATTTTGACGCCATTTTTGCATGTTTCCACACCTCACACATGACGGAACTCCTCCTAGAGATTTAATGGTAATGATTTCAAACTTGGTCAGGTGACTCTTCAGCCATGGGGGATTAAAATTTAGTATCATCTTTTCCAAACTCTGAAGTGTGTGGGCGTGGCAACGGCTCAAACTTTGACCACTGTCCACTGCTCGCCAAAAAACACAAAGTCACTAATAACTTCTGCATACATTGTTCGATCATGACTAAACGTCATAGGGTGGACGCTGGACTCATCCTGAACGTGTACATATGCACATAGTGGCATATATTATAGTGCCACCTGCCCGGTATTTGCCTGTATTCACACCTCGCATGTGATCAATCTCCTCCTATGTTAGTGAATACCTCTGTCAGCTGGTCTGCGCAGGCCTTGATTACTCGTCCCGGGACGCAATCTGGACCATGTGCTTTCCTAGCATCCACTCTGCATAGGGTGGCTCGAACCTGGTGTGGTTGCAGCTGTTGCCAGTCTTTGTCTGCTGGTGCAGCAGGAAGGTGTCTGGGTTCCTGCTGTGCTGGTCAAAGCAAGCAAAGAACTGCTTCAGTTTGTCCGGGGGGCACTGTCTATGGGGGGTGTGGCTGAGGTGTTGGTTTTGTAGCCAGTCAGAGTCTTTATCCCGTGCCACATGCTTCTGGAATAATTGTTGTTAAAGTGGGCCTCTATGCGCTGTTGGTAGCAGTTCTTGGCCCTGATTCCCTTCATCAGATTTATCCGTGCCTCTTTGTAGCTTTGTGGGTCCCCATTTCTGAAAGCTGCTTTGTGTTCCTTGAGCAGGGTCCTCACTTCACCATTGAGCCACATTTTTTTTTTCTGGTAGGGAATTTTAAATACTTAGTTGGCATGATTAAAATCCCTATCCACTATAATTACACTGTCTGCCTGCGAAGCTAGATGCCAGTTGATGGAGAGAAGTAATGTCTCCAAGGCTACTTTAGCATTAGCTTGAGGGGGTATGTAAACAGCAATAATTACAACTGATGTAAACTCCCTACACAGATAAAAGGGTCGGCACTGCAACATCATATATTCTATGTCCGGGGAGCAGTGGGTGGCTCTGACAGTAGCGTTAGTACGCCATGTATAACTGTATCTTCAAATGTAGAAGTAAATAGTTTGTTAGCCATGAATTTACACTTACTAAAGGATTGTATTAACAATTTACAACTCCTAAATAATTGGTTTGTAATCTATATAATACTTAATTTAGAAGAGGTTAGTAAATCATCAACAAATGAAATGAAAATAAAATTATTAAATACATTTTGGATGAGCTTATTCATCAAGAGTAAAACTTTTACTACAGTGTTTATGAATTACTTACTCATGTCAACTAAAGTAGGACAGTGCTTTATAAATGACAAATTTACTAGTTATTAATACTTAACCAATGCTTCATAGTGTGTAGTTTTTGTAAAGTGCTACCCAATCCTCTTCTTGTGTTATAGTCATCTTTTGACTTAAACCCAAATGTCTTTGCACTACAGTTATCCAATTCAGTTTCACCACCATATTTGTGGCTGCATTCCCCCTGGCCCCGCTCCTGGCTCTAATCAACAACATCTTCGAGATCCGACTAGACGCCATCAAGATGGTACGCCTTGAACGTCGGCTGGTTCCCAGGAAGACCAATGACATTGGTGAGCTGAATATCTGTTCATATGGATGAGTGTTATTTGTGGAGCAGACTGATTCAATAATTTAAATCAGTCAATCATTTCAATAATACTAAATAACATTGGCGAAGTCAAAGTCTGTTTACCATTTAAATGGCCTTATGATGTATTGTCATTCAGCTATTCACCTATATTTTATCATATATGTATTGTCTGATGTTGTCTGAGGATGCTAATGTACCTGATTTTTGACAGGTAGTGAATAATTGGGAAGGATAATCAAGGATTGGAACAAAGTACTTTGTTTCACTCACACCAGGAGAAAATTGACAGGCCAAACCAAATTATTGGACTAGCTGACCTTTGCTAAATACTGTTTGTTGAGGAGCAACTGTAATGTTCAAAACAGCAAAATTACTATGACCTCAATAATGTGTCGCTAAAAACAAATGTCCAATATTCCTGAGTCATGATTATAAATAGAAGAAACACAGACACAAATTAGTATTAGTCCTGTGTAAGGGTGATCTTGATCAAGATGGCGTACGATAATGTGGCGTTTACATGTTTGTCTTCGTCGGTGTACAAGAGTGATTTTATGTTTTCCTCACGCATGTCCATCCCTAGGCGCACATACAGCCGTGGGACTCTTTTTGACATCTGCAACACTTTTTTCTGCAAATTTAACCCGGCACACGCTAAGGAGGTACACGACCTCGGCCTACTCCGGCGGCCCGCTTCGACATCGACCCCCACTACTGCAGCACACCCGCAGAGGAAGCACCGCATTCTGTGCCAGAGGAGGCAGAAGCAAGGGAAGCAAGGGAAGCGCGGGCTAGCGGCGCGGGTAATCCACACAAACCGGCTATACCTTCCATCATACTCGCCAGTGCATGCTCCTTGGACAACAAACAGGACTACATACACCTTCTGAGAGCGACCTAGCAGACTGTGAGAGAGTGCTGTCTTTTTGTATTCATGGAAACATGGCTCAACAACAGCATACCGGACTCTGCCAGCTCGACCGGCTAAAATGTTACCATGCAGACAGAGCCCTCATTGAAGGAGGTAAGACCCGTGGCAGCAGGGTCTGTGTGTACATCAGGGATGCTTGGTGCCAGGATGCTGTGGTGGTTTGCAGACACTTTCACCCCTTGTGGAGTTTATGATCATCAAGTGCCGGCCTTTCTATCTACCGAGGGAGTTTTCTGCCATCCTGCTTGTTGCAGTTTACATCCCTCCCAGCTGCAACAACAACGATAGAGACAAGGCACTGAGTGAACTGTACAACGCCATCAGTGACCAGCAGACAGAGGGACTTCTCATCGTAGCTGGAGATTTCAACCATGCAAATCTCAAAACAGTGTTTTCTCAGTTACACCAACACATTGACTTTGCAACACGGGGAAAGGAAACAACACACTGGACCTGGTCTACACAACACTGAGAGGAGCATACAAGGCCTCAACCCCTTCCCCATCTCGGCGCTTCAGACCACATCACTGTTATGCTAAGCAAGCATACAGGCCGAAGGTCAAAGTCACAAGACCGGTCCAGAAGCAGGTACGGGTGTGGCCAGAGGGTGACTCCTCAGGACTCCAGGACTGCTTTAACACCACAGACTGTGACATGTTTAAGCCGGCAGCCACTTACAACCACCAGATCAAAATCCAGGAGTATTCAGACACTGTTACAGCCTACATCAGCAAATGCATTGATGATGTCACGGACACCAAGACCATCACAGTACAGGCCAACCAGAAACCATGGCTGACGGGGAAGTCCATTGGTTACTGAGAGCCCAGAACGTTGCTTTCAGAGCAGGTGATGAGGCTGGTCTGAGATCAGCAAGAGCCAACCTGTCCCGTGGCATCAGAGTAGCAAAGAGGCAGTAGAGCAGCAGGATAACCCACCACTTCACTGAAAGCAGAGACACAAGGAGCCTGTGGCAGGGGATACAGACTATCACAGACTATAAACCTCGACCACAGACCTGTGACAATGACACCACTCTGCTGAACAGTCTGAACAACTTCTTTGGACGGTTTGAAGCTGACAACAGTACCCCTGCACAGAAGACACCACTCCCTCCAGATGACCAGGTGTTGTCCCTGTCTCCAGCAAGCGTGAGGAGATCCCTCTCCAGGATCAATGCTCGCAAAGCTGCAGGACCTGACAACATTCCTGGTCGTGTGCTTAAGGACTGTGCAGAGGAGCTCACAGATGTCCTCACAGACATCTTCAACACCTCCCTGAGCCAAGCTGTTGTCCCCTCCTGCTTAAGAGCACCACCATCGTCCCTGTTCCAACGAAGGCATCTCCATCCTGCTTCAACGACTACTGCCCTGTGGCACTGACCAACATCATTATGAAGTGCTTCGAGCGGTTAGTCATGCAGCACATCAAATCCACCCTCTCTCCCTCCCTGGACCCCAACCCGTTTACATATCGGGCCAACCGGTCCACCGATGATGCAATCTCCACCGCCCTCCACTCAGCTCTCACTCACCTGGACACTAAGGACTCTTACGTGAGGATGCTGTTCTTAGCCTTTAGTTCAGCTTTCAACACTATCATCCCCCAGCAGCTGATAGAGAAACTGGACTGTCTAGGACTGAACACCTAACTCTGCAACTGGTTGCTGGACTTCCTGACCGGAAGACCACAGGCTGTTCGGGTCGGCAGCAATGCATCCAGCACCATCACACTGAACACAGGGGCCCCCCAAGGATGCGTGCTCAGCCCCTTACTCTTCACCCTGCTGACCCACGACTGCACACCAAAACTCAACAGCAAGCTCTTCATCAAGTTTGTGGACGACACTACTGTGGTGGGACTCATCAACAGCAATGATAAGTCAAACTACAGGGACGAGGTGAGCCAACTGGCCGCGTGGTGCAGAGGCAACAATCTCTCTCTTAATGTGGAGAAGACGAAGGAGATTGTTTTCAACTTCTGGAGAGCCTCCACCCAGCACCCTCCACTGAGAGTGAGCAGCACCAAGTTCCTGGGTGTACACCTCACTGAGGACCTCTCCTGGAGCAGCAACACCACATCACTGGCCAGGAAAGCTCAGCAGCGTCTCTACTTTCTCCACACACTGAGAAGAGCCAGAGCACCAGTCCCCATCATGCACACCTTCTACCATGGAACCACCGAGAGCATCCTGTCCAGCTGCATCACTGTGTGGTACGGCGACTCCACCCATCCCAACCACCGCTTCTTCAGCCTCCTGCTTTCCGGGAGGAGAATGAGGAGCCTCCGAGTGAGAACCTGCAGACTGAGGGACAGCTTCATCCACCAAGCCATCAGGATGCTGAACTCCCTCCCAGCACTCCCCCCTTCCTTCTCTGCCCTCTGCCCCCACAAACACTGGACACTGACACTTGACTTGATCTTCAATCATTGTCATCATTTCAGTTTCATTATCAGTGGTCCCTCAACCAGTGTAAAAATAGTTATTTTGTCTTGTCTACAACATGTTTTTACTATAGAATCCTGTTTCCATGACTTTTCAATGACAATACCTCATTGTTTGCTCGGCCTACCTCAGCTTTATGAAACATAATCAATAATCAGACCACTGTAAGCCTGTTACAGTACTGTTTTCTTTATGTGATAGCACTGTTGACTGTGGACAGGTTTATTTGTTTTACGGTACTTTCCTCTGTTTGCAGGTGTTTGGACGAAGGTGTTGGAGGTCATCGGTGTGTTGGCGGTGATTGCTAATGGCCTTGTCATTGGAGTGACATCTGACTTTATTCCACGCCTTGTCTATCGTTACCGTTATAGCCCATGTGCTAATGGAAGCTCTCACACACAGTTAGTTATGTTTTAGCTTATCACCTTATGACACATCTGCAGAGTGGTGTCTGTGTTGTGACTTTTGTTTTGTTGTCTTGTTACAGCTGCATGCAGGGCTACATTAATGACACTCTGTCCACGGCTTTTCTCAGTCACTTTGCAGTTCGAAAGGATTTTCTTGATACTCAGATGAGGACAGAGATTGGATTTAATGTTACACAGTGCAGGTAAAATGACCTTACTCTTTCTCTGCTCTGATCAAACATACTGAGGAGGTAATCACAAATGTGATTAACAGGACAAACTGTCTCATGTGTGCAGCTATAGAGACTACAGAAGTGATGAGGACTACACACTGACTTCTCAGTTCTGGTTAGTGTTGGCAGTGCGTTTTGCCTTTGTCATCCTGTTCGAGGTTTGTACTCCAGATTTGGGTGAGGCAAAGTTGTTTAACTGAATCAGTGAAGCCAGTTTAATCGTCTTGTGTTTTTTTGCAGCATGTTGTGGTGGTTTGTAAGTTTGTTGCAGCATGGTTTGTCCCCAACAGTCCAATGCAGGTAAAAAATGATCGTCTACATGACAAACTGGCTCGGCTAAAGGAGGAAATCCGGTGAGTGAATAGTACCACAAAAATCATAATGAAGCTAAAGCTGTGAAAACATGGTCAGAACATCTCACATAGTGGTTCAAAGTTACCAGCAGCTTTCAAATATCATAAAGAATGCACAGTAGAAAAAGACTGAATTGGGTGATAATAGAGCCACACCATCTTATTCAACTGTATTTTGCGCATGTCTTTTTGTTTTATTTCAGAGAATTGAAATGTAGGAGATCCACTGATGTCTGAACCTTCCAAAGATGAAACCATCTTCTCTGGTCGAAGTGTGAAATAAAAAGATGAATCTTTATTATTATTATTTTTGAAAAACATTAAATTCACACTTGTCATTATACAGTCTCAATATCACTGCAAACACTTTCACATAGCAAAGAGTCTATTTGAAACAACATTTTTCCTAAATTTGTAATACAGTCTGGCTCCTCGAAAGTCTTTCTTTTTTAACATTTCATTCAGGAACACTTTGTCATCATTTACCCATTTATTGCACAATGGAAATGCAGTTATGCTTGGCGCTGAAGGCTCCATTCTTTGGATGTTCCCTAGATTAGCCAAGCGGCATGCTAAGATGAAACAGGGTACATGTGCATAACCCCCAAAACAATGGAAACCTAACTCAAAGCTAGAATAATGATATATACAATATATGAAGCAGACCTCTAAATTATTAACTAAAGAATGCAAGTGTGTTCTGCAAGGGGTCATATTATGGTTCTGTGAAATATCTATGTGTAGCAGCAAGCATGCTGTGAACCTCTAAATCATCTAAGTCCGGGCGAATTCAACGCTGGACGGCTGCTGAAGACCAACAACCCATGGCTTTCAGGGGGGATTCAAAGACCAGGGCAGCAGTGGTGGTAGCAGCACCGATGTGAAAGGAGTGTGAATAGGCGAAGGCAAGATGTGAACCAAGATTTTGATATGGCCTTCCCAGTGGGTAACAAGGGTTCATCTTTCTTCGCTCAAAGAATGCAGAAGATGTCGGGTTATAGAAGATAGGTGACAGAAAGCAGTGATAGTTTGTGATATGACAAAGTTGAACCTTTTCCCTCTTTATCAGATTTTTAGTGCTTAAGGTGAATTGAGAACATTCAAGTGTCGAAGGTGGTAGTGTATTTTCACCACCCCAGAGGAACCCATGAAAGCAGCAATGAATATGGCTTCTAATAAAGCATCTACATGCGACCAAAACCCTGAGCCTTAAGTGGATCACCAACTTATGCCCTAAAGACAAAGAGAGTGAAAGGATCTGAAGGATATTTGCATCTTAAATTTACTAAATACCTGCTACAGAAGCTTTGGTGGATTTGCATTTTTCGACATTTAAAACAGAGAACAATAAAAGCATGGTTGCTCCAGTATGGCAGAAAACCAATGTGTTTCCTTCACCAAGATTTGCCCTAGAGAATGCATGCAATGCCGATAGGATATAATTCTAACAAAGCAGTGGACTAACATAAAAGGAAAGAGCAAGCAGTTCTTTGGGCCAAACGTTGGCAAACCACTCATTATTGTAGATTTCCCAAAACCACTAGAGGGTGCAGCATCAGTAGAGAATCTGAGGGCAAGTAATGTCTCTACTTTGTTGATGTAAAGAGAAATTGATAAATATATTTTCTGCTTTTCACACAGTAGTGACAATTTTTTAAAATCAGATTCACATTCTTTGTCTAGATTGACAAGATCATACAATTGTATCGGTCAGAGGTCCAATACTCTAGAGATAAATGATCTGCCTTGGGGAATGATATGTGTTATTGAATTAAACATTGGAGAATGCATTAAACCCAGCAAATTTTAACAAAAGGCATTATCTGTGTGTTTCTCTTTGTTCTCTGCTTTGTTCGTCTCGTCCCCTCTTAACCACGTCACTGTGATTATCATCAATCATTTTGCTTAGCATTTCATTTAGCTCTTTATAGTCTCTTTGTGCACTTTGAACAGTGTTTCTTGTGTGTGGAACATTTAAGTTACCAGAACAAGCTCCTCCTCTCGAAAACAACTCATTAGGAGGAGGATGAAGAACCAACCCGTTTCCCTCCATACCCCTTTATATACAGTCCGTGCTCTATACGTCACCTCTTCATGTGAGTCTGGGGAAGAGCTGGCATGTATCTTGAAGCATGGATCCATTCTGCTTTACCTTGGACCCTAAGGGCAGTTCTGGTTCTTTCCAAATTCGGTGAGTACATAATCTTCTACATGAAAGGGATGAATTAGTTTTGCCATTTGCTTGATACCTGCAAATGGAACAAGGTCTGGTTTAGTTAGTTAGTTTAGTGCACAAGAAGGCGCGGGTTTGATTATTGGTTAAATAATAAAAATCATCAAATATGATTATAAAAATTAATCATATTATTTATTAAAATGAATAATGGGGCACCACCCTGGTATCAGGGACCAATAATCAACCTGTAAAGATCAGTCTCAATTTGGAAAGTTCAATTATTATTATCAATATACAATATTGATTATAAAATGAACAGTGAAGGTTTAAGGCACTGTCACAATCAAGCTGAATTCACACACGTATACATAATAATCACAAAATGCTCAATAATACTGTTTCAACAAAAGTCCACTATGCTAAAGACACTAACAAGCAACTCTGACAAGTGAAACACACGTGTGACACCTATGGTGTGTGTGCGTGCATGTGGAGGAGAGAGACAAGGGGCAAATAAAGATGGCATACTGGGTCACATTGGTGACGTATCGCCAAATTCAATATGGTGGCTGAACCGTGTGATTTAATCAAAGGGAGGTCGAGAACAAAGATCAATGTGACTTAAATTCAGGTTACTATTGTATTCCTGGTTCTCTGAGTAGCATGAGTGAGAGGTCTCACTTTGGGATACGCCCTCGCGGGTATTCACAGAAGCACTTATACCAATTCACCAGCCCTGAGTGGCTGGCAGTCGTGATGTCCGCGTCATGGTGCCGCACCTTAAATACGGCTGATGCGGCGTCACAGGCCATTCAAAACAAGCACACCTCTTTTCTCGCTTCACCCCAACACCAAGAAGGGCGGTCTGGTGAGATATCTCACTGCTACTCAGCGAACTGGAGTTACGACAGTAACCTAAGGTTCTCTTTCTTAGCATTTGTTTCAATGTTTCACTATGGGATATGGAGACTCCCATAATGCCAGACAAGCTTATCTTGATGATTGACTGCCACCCCCCCCTTCACGTAGAAGTGAGTTGAGAGGCAGATCCACAGAGGAGCCCACGCTTAGGACAGCATGGGTCAGGCAAGGGGATTTGACATCCAACCTCTAGAACTTTGCGAACATGAGGGGCGAAGACCAGCTAGCTGCAGTGCAGATGTCTTGGTGTTCACTATTGAGTGAGAAAATCTTTGTTTGGTGATTTGTTTTCTCCAGTGTGGCTTAGCCTATGCAGGGCACAAACAACTGAACCCCTTTGCTTAAACTCTTTGTCCTCTCCACATATGTGTGTAAGGTACGGACAGGGCACAGCATGTGATACCACTGCTGTTTTGCAGACCCATAAGGTGGTGGCTGAAAAGCTGACAGTTCCACAGGAGAGCATGTATTAACAACCTTGGGAACAAATATTGATTCCCTCTTTTCCCGCCTGACAAAGAGGGATTGCGGAAAGACTGGACAATCTCTTAACTATTTGATTTACTTAAGTCAACACTAAAAGCATATCTAGAATCAGTGTAAATGGTTGCAACTTTGTTCTTTTGGCAAAATGCAAGTTCTTATAAGGGCCTACAATACAGCAGCTTGAGCAGAGGTACCACAAGATAATGCTTGTGCTCCCAATACTTTTTATTCAGTTACTACGGTGTAGCAATATTTTTTATTTTATCAGTCTGCCTACTGACCCGTCAATGTGCAGAACCAAATCAGTATTAAATATCGGTGTCTACACAGAACTGTTCTTTTCATCCATCTTATGAAGAAGAGTATCTGGGCTTAGAAGTGGTGAGCGCATTCATTTTAGGTGGGGCTTGTGGATGATCATTTAATAGCCAGATTGACAAGCTGCTGTCATGTGCTGAGTAGCAGAAATGTTCAGGATATGCAAAACTGAATGGGGAACATGAATCACATAATCACGAATAATGGGGTTTTTTTTCTTTAAATTTGATTAGAGATTAGATTAGATCAAACTTTATTGATCCCTTGGGAAGACTCCCTCAGGGAAATTAAAATTCCAGCAGCATTACAGGAAATGAAAAGAAATAATAAATAGAAACAAATAGTAAAAAGACAGTAAAACAATTGACACGTTATCAAAAAGTGTGGTGGAAATTTATCTCGAGATGTGAAATTTCTGAGTTTCTCAGACCGGAGTTGTCTTTAGGTCATTTAATAGTAGGCTCTGCCGAGGGTTGCACAGTCAGCATGAATGGTCCAAGTGGAACAACCCCGAATAGGGAAAGAAGAAGGTCTTTATATAGTCAGGTAAACAGGAAACATAAGAGACAACTGTTAGTAACAGTAATAGCATGGGAACTGTAGCCACCTGTAGTCTGGTTATCACAGTAGCTGTCCTTTGCTTCCCTCAAACAGTGTTTTACCTCCTGCTGTTCTGCCTTCATCGCCTCCTTGTCTGTTCTTCCTGTTGAGGACAGCTTTGACTTCCCTCGTTACCCAGGGTTTGTTATTTGGGTAACAGCGAACAGTCTTAGCAGGGGAGACCACATCTGCACAGAACTTGATGTAATCCGTCAGACAGTGTGTCAACCCCTCTATGTCCTCACAGTGCGTGTTGATCAGCACATCCCAGACTGTGGTGTTGTAGCAGTCTCTCAGGGCACTTTCCATTTCAGGGACAACCTCCTGATCGAGCAAGTTGTTATCAGCTGTCTTTGGACAAGGGGGTGTACTGTGGCTGTAGGTGAGACAGGTTGTGGTCAGACTTCCCTAGTGGGGGGAGGGGTGTAACTCTGAATGCATCCCTCACATTAGCATACAGCAAGTCAATTGTCTTGTTGTTTCTTGTTGGACAGTCCACAACCTGGTGAAAAGCAGACAAAGTGGAGTCCAAGGTCGCATGATTAAAGTCCCCAGAAATAATCACAAATGCCTCAGGTTGCTGTGTCTGCAGCTTTGCTGTGACGGAATGAATTGTTTCACATGCAGTGGCTGCATCTGCTCTCAGAGGTATGTTAACACAGATGGTGATCATGTGAATAAACTCCCTCGGCAGATAATATGGCCGCAGTCTAACGGCTAGCAGCTCGAGGTCCAGACAACACAGGGCTGTCTTCACAGAGATATGTCCTGGGTTACACCAGCGGTCGTTCACGTACATGATGAGCCGCCCACCTTTGCTTTTCCTGCACGCTGTAATGTCTCTGTCGGCTCTCACAGCAGTGAATCCCACCAGGTCAAAGTTAGCATCCGGTACGAAGTGGGTTAGCCAAGTAAAGATGAACAAGCTGCTCTCACAGTAAATCCGCTGGTTGTTCAGCACGGACAGCTCGTTGATGTTGTTTGGCAGCGAGTTCACATTTTCCATGATTACGGATGGAATCGATGGTTTGTAGCACCTCCAGTTGTCCGCTAGCTTAGCCTTTAGCTTAGCCCCAGCCTTGCAGCCCCTGGGTTGCCTCCTCAGCTTAGCTGGAATGGGGTGTTGTATCCTGGCTCTTCCCAAAAAGAGCAGAAAAGTATAAATTAATGGGAAAAAGAGGTTAAAAAGAGCTAAAAACTGAAGAACTACTGGAGGGGCAGCCGTCTCACACAGCGCCCAACTACTTAAATCTTGGGAGCAACAGCAGCTACAGTTCTCAGACAGACAAAAACAGCAGGCAACAAGCATGATGAGTAGTATGCAACAGGACGGTAATGAGACTTGTGTTTCTGCACCAGGAAGTTTCTCTTCTCACAAACTAACAGGCAAAATGGCTGCCCGTAGTCAGGGAATCCAAGGCAGGTGGTGCTGGAGAGAGCCCTTTTGAGGTCATTAAAAGCCTTGTCCATTGAAGCGTGGCAGTGCACATGATGGAGTCCATAGCACCTTACTCATTGATTCACTGTTTAGAATAGTTCACCATTCTCAAGAGAGAGAGCATTTCCTTTTTGTCTTGGGTGGAGGCACATTGTTCAAGACTTATACTCTCTAAGGCAGCAAAAGCTCTGTCGATCTCTCAGCATGTTTCCCAAACATGTAACCTCTGATGAGCAGATCTGTTGCTCAGCCAGGATTGCTCTGTGACCACATTCAGGATGTCTCTGCAACAGCAAAATATAGTAAGAGCAACAAGTGTCCTTGGACAGGGAGACTTTCAACAGGTCCTGCCACTAGGCAGGCGCAGGTCATCAGGTCACGCTTTACCACTGTTGCATACACCGCCAGACCTTTCCTGAACAAATACAATAACGGGCTGTCTGGATGGAATAGAGATCAATCTGTGCTCAAATCGACAACTTTATAATACTTTGAATCCGACAGCAATGAAGCCAAATTCAAATTAGTATATGAACAATTGATATCATTAATAGTTTGCAATTCTTGAACAAATCTGTGGCGGTGGGGTATGGTTAGGGCGCCAACTGCTGGATAGCAGGGAGGAGTGGCTCAGCCGGTGATCCGACAGCTGTGCAGAATCAGGTGATCAGGCCATCAATAAAAGCATGCTTGTAACCTGGTTCTGCTCTCTCTTGTAGTAGGCTGGCGTCCTGGGACCAGAG